GGATGGTTTCCATCGTTCTCGAGGTGACCTGCAGCCTCCTTGCCTGGCTGTTCCTGTACGCCTGCTTCTGCTACTGGCACAAGCACCGTTCCTACGAGTGGAGCTGTCGCCTGGTCACCCTGCTGCATGGGGTGATTGTCACCTGCCTCTCGGGTTACATTGCTCTCTGGGATGGCCCCTGGCCTCTGACCCACGCAGGTATGTTTGGAGTCTTACCATGATGTATGTCCTTGTCATGCAGCGTGGACACCTCTGGTTACAGGTGGAGTGGGGGGCTGATTGCTTTTGCTGTCCGTTCTCTTAGGTGTATGTTTTTGGGGCATGTTTGGGACAGTATTTTGTTTAACTCCCTTGCTTCTTCTCCAGCCCTTTCCCCCTTCTACTGTTAATATTTTTATTTTTGTTTTATCTATGTACATGACAGGACAAGGGGTAATGGTTTTAAACTAAACCAGGGTAGGTTTAGACTAGATATAAGGAAGAAATTCTTTACAATGAGGGTGGTGAAACACTGGAACAGGTTGCCCAGAGAGGTGGTGGAGGCCCCATCCCTGGGAACATTCAAGGCCAGGCTGGACGGGGCTCTGAGCAACCTGATCTGGTTAGCAGTGTCCCTGCTCCTGCAGGGGGGTTGGACTAGATGACCTCTAGGGGTCCCTTCCAACCCAAAACATGCTATGATTCTATGATATTGAAAGTTTTCAGCTCGGCAGCTTGAGTTTGCTGCAGCATTAGGTGTAGCAATGTGCTGAGAATAGATTTAAGTGCTGTTCACATCTTTTAAGGGTGTAATAACTCCCGGCATTTGGCTGTGGGGTTTTGTTTGCTGTATTCTGTTGTTAAATAGTTCTGCTGATGGGGATCAGGCTTTCTGTCCTTGCTTTCTAAAAGGGTGGAGAGAAAAAGAGGAACAGAAGAGTGGCAGGATGGGATGGCCTGTCTGGGTCTGCAGAGCCAGACATCCAGGCTTCCAGCCTGGCACTCGGCCTGTAGGATAAGGCTGGAAACTAAGGAGGAGAGAGGCATACTCACAATCGGTATTGCTCCATATTGTAGAAGAACGTCTTATTTAAGACCCCAGGCTTATGTACATCTTTTGTTTCAGGTTCACCAAACACATCTCTTCAGATCCGTGTGCTGTCCCTGACCTTGGGTTACTTTATCTTTGACCTGGGCTGGTGCCTGTATTTCCAGACAGAGGGGGACCTAATGCTGCTCCATCACACGCTGAGCATCTGTGGCATGATCATGGTGCTGGGGCTCGGCAAGTCTGCTACAGAAGTCAATGCTGTTGTATTCGTTAGCGAGATCACCAACCCACTGCTCCAGACCCGCTGGTTTCTGCGGGAAACAGGGTGTTACCACACTTTCCTGGGAGAGGTGGTGGATTTCTTGTTTGTGTTCCTCTTCCTGGTGCTGCGAATCGGGGGAGGAGCTTTGATCATGTACGCCATGGTGACATCCCCTGATCCCAGCTGGCTCCTCAAGGCCGGAGGCCTGGCCATGTACATTGTATCTCTGGGCTTCATGGTTAAAATCTGCCACTTCGTCAGGAGGAAAATGGTGAAGAAGTATGGTTCCTGGAGAAGTCCAAGGAGTATGAATGCACCTGTGAAAACTAATGGGCACTTGACAGCTCATTAATGGCTTGTGGATGACAATCCCGTGGGCTAGGGTCCTGGCTACTGAAGCCTATTCCTGTGAAAAGAACTCCTAAAAGTGATGTGGAATTGGCTTTCTGGCACTGGTCTGCTACGCCTGGAGGAGATGAATCAGCACTAATAGGAACACGGGAAAGCTGACAGAAGAGGGAAATCTGAGGAACCTGGCATGTCTACTGAACTCTGCTTCCCTGACTTCTCCAGCAATGGTACAGTCTCGAGGAAGGTGGCAATGCCAGACCTATTCAGTCTGCAACCAGTAATGGCACGCAGTCTGTCTGCTCTGTAATCATTTTGGAGGTAGAATTATTTTATGGTGTAGAGCCAGAAAAATCAAATCTGAAAAATCCCATTTTCCTGCCAGTGGGACCGGATAGGGGTGTGACCTAGCAAAGATTTACTGAGCCTCGTTCTCCCTTAACCGTGGTGTTGGACAACGTGCTTGACTAAGGACCTAGATGAAAGCCTCTGAACAAGATTCAAGTGCTTGCAGGGGTATAGTGGAGTTGTCCTTTGAGTATGTGAAGTGATGGTACTTGAGATGAGGCAATGTTTTACCTCATTGTTTTTAATGATACATTTCTTTTTTTTTTTATTAAATACTTGCATTCAAGCAGATACTGATCTCAGAGCAGTGTGACTTCACTGGGATTGAGTCAAGCCCTTGCAAACAAGAGTCAAGAATTAGACTTGTGCCAATAAACTCCATAAGCAGGTGCTCACCTAGCCTTGGATTGCTTTAAAAAAAATAAATCAGGCACTTTGTGGTTGAGGGATGATAGAGAAGAGCCCTCCCTGGATGCTCTTTGTGTTCTGGGTTGACTCATTTACAAGCCACTTTAAGGTGAGTGCATGGCTAGTAAGTCTAATAAGGGACTATGTTTTCAGGGGTGACAGTAATGTTTAGGCAGATCTCAGTGTAACATCTGCTCCATACCAGCAGGTCTTGGAGTAGGGACTAGCTGTCTTGTTTTCTTTACCTCTTAGAATTGTGTTCTGACATTTCCCCTGGGGTTTTAATGTGAATTTCCCTCTGTTTAAGGCTGCAGTTCAGATTTACACTCCCACAAAAGCCTTGCTTACAGCTGAGGAACAAATGGCTTTGTGTTGCCCTCAGGCTCAGCAAGGCTGATTGCCTTTCCTCCCTGCTTTCAAAGACCTTGCTTAGAAGAGCTTCTTCATGGAGCTGAAGAGCCCCTGAAACAGCCTGTGTGGCTCTTGCTGAAGTGAGGTCTCACCCCTGCTGGAGAGGGGAAGGAGGGGAGCAGTGGGGGTGCAGCCTCACGAGCTCCTCCGTGCCTCTCGTCTCACTAACTTCGGCACTGCTCAGCGCAGGTATCGGCCTTGGCTGGGGGTTAGAATAAGGTGTATGGAGAGATTAAAAAATGACCTGAAATAACTTTTGACATGCCCTCTGAATGCATTGCGGCTGTGAATCCAGGCAAGTTAGCAGGTTAGTATGTTTAGAAGAACAGGAGCCTTGCACTCCTGATACCTTGCCAGCACGGCTCTGGGGGCCTGGGCTCGTGAGGTATGAACTGTCGCCAGAGTCGCTGGGCTCTTCTGAAAACTCCTATGAGGGATGAGACTGTCAATAAAGTTATGTTTTCTTCTTAAAAAGAAACAATTGCTGTAATGTGATTTTGTTCCAGGTCTTAAGGAGGCAACTGGAAGAAAACAGGCTTGAGGGTAGCCTAAGCAGGCTAAGGCTGGCAAAGCTCTGGCTCATGCAGCTCAGGGAGGAGTGAGCTGGTGGGGAAACAAGCACAGGTAGAGCCGTGTGCTCTAGAGCTCAGGCTTGAGGTGTGAAGGAGAGATGAGGGTCAGCTGAAGCTCAGATTTGTGACTTACATACTAATAACCTGCCTTGCCAATGAGTCACGATCAGTATTGCAGGGAATGTAAGAATGGGCCATTAAACTGAGGTATTTGCTCTTGATGGATGCAAGGTCACCGGGTAACTTAAATTCTGGTCATGGCCTACATCCCAGCTTGCCTTTTTGTCTCTGTAGCACTGCTGCCCCTCTGTTGCTGCATTTCATCCTAGGAGTGACCCGTTCAGAAGGCTTGGGTTGCAAGGTGGTTTGTCTACGCTATCTTTGCAGAAATAATTGAAAGCATGAGAACGCCTTTGGTGTTATGAGATATCCTAAGCCACTGCTGAGTGGCTGTTCCCAGCTGAGAACCTGCTACTGCTGGGCCAGGACTCTGCTGTCTGGGGTGGAGGTGGGCCTAGGCTTGGCTTCCAGCAAGAAAACTTTTCCTTCAGCTGAGGGATAGTAACCCAGTGCACCCAGCTTGCTTGCATGCAAAACAACAGATGGTAGTTATCCCATGAGATTGGAAGGAAAGTAAGTGCCCTCAGGTGGTCATGCACCCTGTCTCATCTAAGCATAGTTTTAGTGTTAAACCCTCTAATGTGATGCTAGAAAAGCATCTGGCTCCACCCTTGCTATCCCATTGGATTTCTTATTTGCTAACGTTTCAACTAATGTAATTTTTAATACAGGTGCCTGATTTTTATCTGTCAAAAATCCCTGAGGGCTTTTACAGTCATACAAAGCGAGCATCAGTCTTGGCCTATCCCTGAGGAAGGCTGTTGGACTCTTGTGCATTTCCAGTTCTTTTGTATTTCCAGTTTATTTTTGGACAAGAAGTTTCCCAGTGTTGGCAAGCTAATAGGTGCTGTGACCCTTCAGTGTTATAAGCTCTCGTTAGAATAGGTACTGAAAGAAGAATGTACTCCTGAGAACTTAGCTATACTAAAATGGGTGGCAGTGGGCAAATGGCTGTTAGCAGAGGTTCCTGTCCTGAGCTGTTTTGCTGAATGCTATTCGTCTGCAGGCAAAATGAGCCAGGGCAACTCAGCCTGCCTGTTGAAACAGCTGACCCTGCACAAAGCAAACAAGAAAATCGGTGTATAAGCTGCGCCTAACTTCTGGTACAATCCACTGGGAGATGATTTGACTTGCCGCCTTGCATCTCGCTAGATGCAATTTTCACACATTGTACCATCTAGAACAAAAAACTCCACAGCTCCCTCCCTATATTCTACCTCTGGCATTAAATGGTCCTTGCCTTGTTAGGACTTTTGGGGTGTTTTTCTGTGACCATCTTTGTTGTTCTTCCTGGCGGCTCAGTTTCTGTGCTGTGAGTCAACATCAGCCCTATAGCTTTCTGTCTATCAAGGCTGTTCTGCATCCTAAGCTAAATATTAGTGCAGCTCCATCTCAGTTGTTGTTGATGCTATGGAGGCCTGGGGCCTGGTCCAGCAAAGGTGGAGGAAAGCAAGATGAGATCTAAGGTTTGTTCAGAGAAGCAAATGCTCTATTAATGCTAGTGAGGATGTTGTGCTGAAATAGCTGCAGAATGAGCATCTTGTAGCAATAGGAACCTGTGCCTGGCCTGAACTGGAAAAGTAAGGTAGGGAGATAACCAGTTGAAAACAGGCTGGTTACAAGTGCTGCGGGAGGCAGGACAAGCCACTCCCACCACCTGTATTTCAAAAGGTAAAACTTGACAGGATGAAGGAGAACCCCACCAATTTCTGGGTGTGAGAGATTGTTTTGATTGCAATTTGCGAAAGGCGGCAGTGTGTCGGCCGGGGGAGCGTTTCTGCAAGCTACCTTAGGTGTCCGGCATTAGCCCTGGATTTTGCTACTCTCCGGATGTGCGTGAAAGGAGGAGAGGGAGAGAAAAGACGTGGTTTAGCACTGAATGCTTGTAGTGAGAAGTTGCTAGGCTTTGTAACTGCTGCATAAGCACGGGACGAGAGGGTATGTTTAGGGCAGGGCTGCGTGTTTTCCCAGCCTGCTGAAGCTGCATGCTCTGCGCTGTGCCGGGGTGACAAACCCCACGGGGCACGTTACCTTGAAGCTGGTGCTGTACTGACGCAGCTTTGCAAGTTCTGTAGAAGAGTCGGTCCCCATCAGGCGCTGCCTGGGTGTGAGCAAAGCAAGCCCACGTCTGCCTGCAGCCGTGCGGTCATGCCTGTTATCTCTGGGACACGTGAGGTGACCGAAGCGGGTCATGGGTGCCTGGGACTAATTTCCTGTGCCCACAGCCCAAAGCCACGCTGTGTGTGCCAGGCAGGCGACCAGCCATCAGTTCCCTGAGCAGCAGGTTCAATGCTGGGCATTGAACCGGAGGCGGAGAGGCCTGCGAACCGCCAGCAGCAGCGCTGGGGGCCA